GAGAAGGGGGCCCCTATCGCTCATCTCTGTCGAGGGATGAGGGATGGGGCCCATCCCCCCTCCTTGGAGGGGGGACGCGCTGAGGCCCGCCAACAACAACGGCGGCCGGTGCGGGGGGCGGTACAGACGATATGACTAGTCAATTCCTGGCCGCCCCCCAATTGTAAAGCACAGCGCAGGCTGCCGTGTGGTTTTAGTGGGTAGGCCGCGCACCCGGCACTGTTTGCCGGGTGCACTCCGATCGACATTAGGAGGGCAGTCCCACATAACCTCGGCCCCTTCCCCAGGGGGCCCGGGTATCCATAAAGGATTTCCACACGTAAAAAAAAAAGGCCATACGCTGGCCAAGTGGGCTCTTAGTCGGCGGACGCCCAGCCCATGGAACCGCCGGAGCCTAAAAGCGGCACACAACGGTTCCCAGCCGGACGCCCGCCTTAAGCCCCCCCACCACGACAAGGTGGCCCACACGGGGGGGGGATATGCTTCTTCCTACTGATCCCATGCCAAAAGGAGATATTTCAACAGATAACACTAACAATTCTGAGGATACAGTAGATTCATCAAACGAAGAAGCTTGAATGCCTTCTGTGTAATATTATATTATATGTGCAATTACTGTGCAATATTATATTATAATATTATATTTCATATTATTAAAACATATTGTTACATATATGTAATTGTGGCGGCCTACGGTAGCCACAGGCGCCGGGCCCTCAGCAACCACGCGGTCGCGCGCACCTGATGCTTAGCACAGGGCGCCCGGCCCCCAACATAAGCGCCTGGCGTTAGCCCCACTCTGGGCGGCCGCGCTAGTTCGCGGCGCCGCCGCTGCGTTGCGGATTCTCTCGGGAGTGAAATTTAGTGACTACCAGTATATAAGGGAGGAAATGCGAGCATTTTCATTTCACTTCGGCGCTCAGACGCCACGATACCCAGCGCATAGCCGCTGTTCCTTGCGCCCTAGACGCATACAAAGCGCTGAGTCGCTCTCCTTCGGGAATATAAGCGCTGAGTCGCTCCACTTCGAGTTTCAAAAGCGCTGAGTCGCTCTACTGCAGGCGCCTTAGACGCCCCTAAAAAGCGCGAGTCGCTCAACCACGTGCGCATTGATCGCACAACAAGCGCTAGACCGCTTTATCGCACAGGCGCCATGGTTTCGCCAACAAAGCGTAAATCGCTGCATCGTGAGTGGAGATCTGCGTAAAACGCATAGACTCAGAGCGAAACATTTCAGATGAAATACTAACTCTGTACTTTCTTTATAGATACTGATTCCAGGAATAAGAGATCGCGACCCTGGAAATCCGAAAGGCCAACTCCGCCGAGACAGGACGACTGGCTACCGGTACAGAGGAAGACGCGGCCTATACCTCTGGACCAGTATCTAAAACGACGCCGAACACACACAGAGTCGCAAAAGATACCGGCCCCACGGACTCCCTCTCCGACTCTACGGGCCCCATCTCCGGATCCACGGACTCCGTCTCCTGCTCCTCGGACTCCATCTCCCGCTTCTAGGACTCCATCTCCTGCTCCACGGACTCCGTCTCCCGCTCTCTTCAAAAAGCCCAACACACCGCGGACACCTTCGCCCGTTCCCATCTGTAGAACCCCAAAGCGTAAAAGACCTCTCACGCCGCGAGTCACACTATCGCCATCAGACTACGTGGAGAATGTTCCACCAAAAACCTTCCGTAGTCTGATGACGCAGACCGTACCAACACTCTGCGACTTTGGTACCCAAACGGATCCTGTCCCTCTGCCGAAGTTTTCAACTTCCGTCCCGCTAGTCAGTAAGCGCGACGCCTTTACGCAAACTAAGAAGCGCGGTGGCCAGGCTCGAAATAGCCAATATTTTCCGTATACTCCTCGACGGATATAAACTGCTATGTATCATACTCCTTTAATATATTCCTTAAATATATATCCTTAGCCCTGAGGCATTAACAGAAAAAGAGTCGAAGAATTACTTTCCTCCCTTGCGATCCACTTCCTTGGGCGTTCCTAAAATAGAGTTAAGCGAAGTAAGCCCCATAGTAATTAAAAGTAAAAAATATATACACTAACCTAAAGTTTTTCATTAAGCAAGTACGTCTTCCAGAATGTTTTTTATGTTTGGGAAAAAGTCTTATGTTTTTTAGAATAGATAGAAAGTCAATGATCTTAAGGCCTTACACAATAGTTCATTTTTATGTGGTAATCATATCGGCCTCTCCGTGTATAATTAATATTTTTAATTAATTTTTGTACACCTTTTTATTTTATTTTCAAAAACACTTATAATTGCTCAAAATAGATTACAGTGTAAATATTTATAATAAATACACATATGTATATGATTAGTAGTATATTTTAAACCAAAATTTGTCAAAAAGTAATTTTGGCCAACTTTTTAATACAAATACCCCACTGTGCGACGCTGCCATCAGCTGATCGCGACGCGCTAGTACACACACACACGCACACACACGCACACACATTCTCTCTCTTTCTCACTCGCGCTCTTACCTTGCAGAGATGATGTAGTGATGATTCGATGACTTCGTGTTGCTCTAGTTTCTTGAAAAAGACGATGAGAAAGATGCATTTTCCGATGGACTGTAGCTTAGAGCAAGTTCATTGTAACTTTCACTAAATTTAACATACATTTTCACTAATACAGATCAACTCATATATTTTCACTAATAGAGATCCACACTGAATAATTAATCGGAAGTATTTTTTATGTTACTATCACGAGACACGGTAGTGTCTCGCGCCAAGTGTAAGCGTAGCTAGTACACGCGTGCGACACCGACCGTGTAAGTTTACGCGAGTACACGAGTTGACGGGCCCTCAGATTTTCGGATCTCAACAACGGCTGATCCGACGAAATTGAGAGTGCGCTTAATCGATAGCTTGGGTACGATTTGCATAATAAAAGTGTTTTTACTTTTCTCCTACGTGCCCCAGGAGTGGAGGTATTGCAATGCAAAAGTCAGATTTGTTAAATTTTGGATTAAGAAACGTCTTTGTCATCGTCTTGGTCGTCGTCGTCGTCGACCAGACCAACATTTTCACTTGACTTTTCACTTGACCACGTTGCAATTGACCACGGTCCCGATCGACCACGTTGCAATTGACCACGGTCCCGATTGACCACGTTGCAATTGACCACGGTCCCGATTGACCACGTTGCAATTGACCAC